GACAATCAAATACAAGTCTCTCTTCTTCAGCAGCAAAAAAAAAAAAAAAAAAAAAAAAAAAAAAAAAAAAAAGAGTTGCACCTCTTTTTTTTTTTTTTTTTTTTTTTTTCCTTTCTTAAGAAGAGGGACCTGTGTCTGATCGCCCTCGCAATCGATAGCTTTATATAAAATGTGCGCTAAAATAAGACTGCTGTTTAGCCTAATTTTAACTCTTACATTGGCATATTTATCTTCCTTTTTAAATAAATATATTTTCTTTGATTTTTTAAACTAAGCAGTAAAGGATAATTTACCTTAGTACGCGTTTTTTGAAAGTGTTTACGAGGAAAAGAAGGTTTACACACAAGATATCTGCATATATATGAGCTTGATATGTTGAAGATATTCGATAGAAAGGTAAATAAATGGTTTAAATACTATATCTCAAACTAAGTTATAATGTGTTTTCGCTTTCCAATCAAACTAAAAGATAAAATGGATAAGTTATTTTAATACATTTTTTTAAATATTTTAAGCTGCGCGTATAAGACACGTATACCTTTTAGGAATTCATTTTGTAGGAAAATTCTTATTTTACACTCCAGCCAACATGATAATAGAGAATTTATCAGAGAAAAAAGTAATCCTAAAGCGATTAATAAATAAATAAGCATTAAAGAATTTTTTTTTAAATTTAAGTATATAATGCTAAGAGCCATGTGGAAGATTTATGTCAAAATTAAAGGCAAGTAACCTTTCTGTCGTTAAGGCAAGTAACATCTCTGTTGCCGAATACAAATTCATTACTTCAAACATTAGATCAGAAAAGTATAGTTGCATTTAAAACCATTACATTAGGGGTTCATTGCAAGGAATTTTGAATATAATTCTATATGGAATTTTAAAGCATAAGCACTCAATTAACTTCATGGAAGCATGGAAACGCTTTAAAATTGTTTATTGTACTATTCTCATAATTCCGTTTATCACAGAAACACGATCATCCACACTTAATGCTTGCTGGAAAAAATAATTACCAGAATTAGTTGAAAATATAAATGTTATCGAACCAGCAGTAAACAGAATGGACGCAAAATGCAAGAATGTCGAAATCTACAAGCCTAGAAGTCTACAAGCCTTGACGAATCTACAAGCCTTGACGAATCTGCAAGCCTTGACGATATCTTGTATTAGAAGAGGCGAAAGGAAAAAAAAATTGTGCCTGACGGCAATGCACTAAGCTGATCAATGTTTTCTAATGTTTAAACAATGTTTTTACCCCAAAACTTTGTGTACAGTGATATTTTTGATTCATTTCATGAGTTGATTATCTTTTTAACGTTACTGCTCATTGTTGCCAAAATTTGAGTTAAGCTGTAAAATAAAACAATAAAATAATAGATTCACCTTCGGTGAACTTTTGCTTAATATTATCTTTTATATATATATAGGCAGCTTAAATGTTTGTCGGCGATAGTTATTGTTGCCACTTGGAAAAATGAGCGCGGAAATTAATGTTTCTGCAGTTTTTAATTAATATCTCGGCCGATTAAAGTCGTACGAAGATGAGAACGGTATCGATGGATTCGGAGAATATTTTGGAATCCGAGGAAACGCGTCTCGAATTTCAACTCGGCGCCGTTCCGTAGATATTCGAGAAAAAGAATTTGGCACGTAACCAAATCCCTCTAATAGGTAAAAACCCAAGAAAGAAAGTGAAAAATGTAGGAAAAAGTAGGGTAAAATTAGTTTTTAATTAATATCTCGGCTAATTAAAGGTCCCACGAAGACGCGAATGGTCAAAATGGCGTGCCACGGACCTGCGGAATCCAACGATGTACTTCGTTAAGCCCGGGAGCCAGCCGTTTCGAAGGAGATAATGTTACTTTACCCCATATATATTGCGGCTTAAGTGTCTCTTTGTCGCCGATAGTTTATAGGTTGCTTGCGTAACTGTACTAGACAATTGGCTGAAGTTGCCACGGAGCAGGGTTGCCGTTTCAATTGAGACGTAAACAATTTCCTGTATAAAACTTGCCTGTGCTATGACCATCAATATGTCTCAGGGCCAAACGCTTAAGCGTGTAGGCATTTTTTTACCTGAGCCTGCATTTGGACACGGTCAACTTTATGTTGCCTGTTCAAGAGTTCGTGAAAGAACGGACGTAAAATTAAAAATAATTGATGGTCCTCTGCAAGGTGAACATAAAAATGATGGAAAAATCTACACAAGAAATGTTGTGTACAAAGAGATCTTTGACATGTGAATTAACATTTTATTATTTAAACCATCTTTATTTATTGAGCTAGCGGTGACTCTTAAGAAATATACCGCCAGTGGTTTCCTTCATTGCACTCTACTTTAAGCAATTAAGCAAGAAGAAGGGGGAAACCCCGTAGGGCAGTAAGCAAAGGGCCGTCCTCGCCGCCTGCCCTGGGTAATTCCGTTTAAATTAGCAGACACCTTTGCACAAATCCTTTTAATTACAATTTATCATGTCTAAAACAGCGGTCATTTCGTATGACCACCTGGCTTTCTAGTTTATTTATAACTTAATTTCGTTTTATCTCATCGCCAAGGCGAAGAATGTATGTACTACTTTAAAGTTGGATTTATTCTCTACTATTTTATTCTCTCGTTCTCATCCCAATGCAAATCGTACCGTAGCGAGTTTCACGCGTTTGTTTATTTGATTTATTAGAGAATCGGCTCTTACTAATGAATGCAGAAATAATTCGAGGATTGCTAATGGAAGGTCAGGCATATGAAGCAAATTTGTTAAAATGGCATCTGTGGATAAAAATTTATTCAAAAGTCGATAATACAGATGGAGCTAAAAGGTTTTTTTCGTGAAAAAGGAGGTCTGGCCAGGGCCGGCCCCACAGCATGAGCAACAGGTGCAGCCGCACCGGGTAGCAGAATGAAGGGCGAGAAAATTTGTAAAATTTCGGGAGTTTGTGTGCGGCAGATTCAGGAATCGGAGTGAGCCGGGCGGCGAAAAGCCTAGCGCCGGCACTGGGTCTAGGCTTGACCAAACAACTGGAATCATATTTTCTAAATGAAGATCCTTAATCAGAAAGAAACCAAAAATTTAAAAGAGAACTCGAGAAATGTTTAGATCTACACAACGAAATTTATAAAATCTCTCGAACAAAAGAAAGAATCGAAAATAACATTTTTTTTTTTTTTTTCCAAAACGTAACTCAAGATGCTACTAAAGACAGAAAGAAAGATAAAGATGTTTCGCGAAAACGAAATGCCTTCGTTTAATGGTGATTAATACGGATGATGAAGAAGACGATATGTAATACTTTTGATCAACTTTTATCATAATACATCTGTGAGTTACAAAAATTCAAAACTAAGGCCTGGTTATTTATTATTATTATTATTATTATTATTATTATTATTATTATTGTACTAATTCTTTGGTTCATATAATACGAATTCGTGCGACCCGCCTCTTTTTAGGAGCTTAACATCCGTGTATGCATGGAAGCCTTTGTATGCTATATTATGAAGATTATATACTTTTAAAGACAAATCTTTAATTCTTGGTACGAAATGTATTTTTACAAGGTTTTCTTTTTTATGAAGAAAAATGTGTGAGACATAAAATTTCGAGCTTTTTATTTGAAATCAAAGGAAGACAAAAAATGAGTTTTTCTGTATGCAGTAGAGTTCTAATTCAGTGACTAATTAAGATTAAAGGCCATCCGGATTAAGAGAGAAGAGAAACGCTCCAAAGGAAAACTTAAAATTAGGCAAAATAACAGCCTTGTGTTTGGTTTAGATTTAAGTGAAAATCTATTGATTCGAGAGCGAACAGGTACAGTTCCCTCTTCGTCAAAAACAAAAATTCTGAAAATTCTCCGCGCTTTGTTTTTGGTATGCGATCGTCTCTCATCCCTTCTTTGCAGAATTCTTTTTCTCCTGAAGAATAGGGATCTGTACCCTCGAAATCGATAGTGTTTCAATTAAATTTACGCCAGACACAAGGTCACTTTTACCTAATTTTAAGCCCATCTGATTAAAAAAATCCGGAGATTTAAATTGTCTTTTCGTGTATGCTTTCATTTTTTATAATGAAAGTGAGGAAAATTTGTTTTATTTCTTTCCTCCTGCCCATTTATCACATTTTAGATCAATAAAGGATTGACAATTAAGTAAAACAATATTTTTATTTCCTTAGAAGAAAATATGAAGCACATTTTTTTCACAAAATTAGGCAACGAAATTATGTTTTATTTGAGTAAACAAATAACCCATTTCTACTTCAATTAAAATAAATCAACTGAAATTTTTATTTACTTAAGCTTTAATACTAGAAAAAGGATAATAAGCATATAAACTGTAGATAATTATTCTTATATTTAATCTTAGTTCGTTACGGTGCCTTGGTATTATAGTTATATTTAATCATAGTTTAGCTATTTTATCATTAATAGTTATTTAACGAACATTACAGTCCAATCTATATATCTGTTATCTAATTCTATGAGCTGTATTATTTTTCATACTGTTAAATCACCGAAAATGTTAAATATGCAGAAACAAATTAACAACGATTTTAAATTTATTTGAATAAATAAGAATAGCAAATGATCTAGATGACTGGATTTTCGATCGGATTATTATAGTTCGGTTATATTTATATTAAAAAATACACCCATTTCTTGTATATGGAATATTTGTAAATGCTTTGATAAGAAAGGAAACATTTATGCTGTTTTTGTTGTGAAAGGAATAAAAGAACACTTCATTTCTACTGACTTTTGTAGAAATTTCTGTTACTGAGTGAAATATTAAAATTTATTTTTAATTTATGCTCCAAATATTACTAACCTTAATCTGGGAGAAACTTTTCACGGACTTTTCCGAAAATGCAAATAAATAAGACTCCTTTAGTACTTATAGCTGGCAGTTACTAAAATTAGTTTTATCTGTTTTTTATATTTAGTTTTTTTACTAGCAAGGATGCTTCTCAGTTTCATAATTTTCATTTTATGATTTTTTCCAGTTATACAAAGATGCTGCTTATCGTCCTGAGCTTTGTGTTTCAACTACTTTTCCCTTCTGTGCAACCTTTTTCCACTTACAAAGATACCCACCATGCTGCTACCAGCAAGCACAACAAATCATTCTTCTATCCAAAATATAGGCCCGAGATATTCCCTGATAATAGATTGCTTCCGGAAGATTCAGAAGTGGACGTTTTTCTTCACAAAAATCAAATTCAAAAGTAAGCATTTATATCATTTGTTATATTATATAGTGGTACTGCTGTTTGTTTTCCAAATATCCTGGTTTATTGAGCAAAGTAATATTTATGTAAATTTTAAGTTAAAAAAGCCTATTTAGCTCAATTCAGATGCTCGACTTAACAATGAGATTACGTTTGATAAACCCATCGGATGTGGAAAATACCTATAACACAATTAACCTACCTATTATTTTGTCCCCCCCAAAAAAAATTAAATAAATTTGAACCTCATATTAAGCTAAGTAAATATTCTTTCCACTGGTGCGGGATAAAAATAAAAAGGAGAAAAGCCTGTGAAACTGAGAGATTGGTCTAAACTCAAATAATTTTATAAATACATAACTGTATAAAAATTAATTATGTATTAATTCATACCACTTAAATTCAAATTCATTAACTCAATAATATGAAAGTAAAGAGGGATAAATTATTGTAAAAATGAATAAAGCTTTTTCGAAGTCGACAGCAAATTTTATTTTGTACAGACTGATTCAATATGATTTATCTTCTTTAAATGAAGAAATTTTCGAATGCAGAGTAATAATTACATCTAAAACAAAAGGAAATTGAAACTAAATTTTGCTTATAATTGTTTTAGAGTTTTGCTTATAACTGCTTATAACCTTTTTCTTTATTTATGCGAAGAATAGAAAGACAAGAAGAGAAAGACCAGATTTTAGCTTTATTTGCTCATTTTTTTACTCAAACATTATTTTGTCTTCACAGCAAAAACTTTACACTCTTTAATATATTGGCTTGCGACAGGTTAGGTTGTTAAATATGCCAAAGCATGAGACTTACTTGTGTAAGAGGAGTGATGCCTTCGTAGAGAATTTTCAAAGGGAAACTGGCTCCTTATCATGTTATTCATAGGGAAAGCGAACCAGGGACCCAGTCCATTCTTTTGAGTTCGAACCCGTGTTGAATTACCAGAATTCAGTATTCTTAACCACTCGAGTATTGATGGGGGCGGGGGCGCAGAGAACAACGCGACTTTTAGGGACACATCTTCAGCGCATTCACACATATGAAGGCAAAGATAAAGATTAGATCGCTGAAAGATCTAGCATCGTAAGAGATTATCTATAGAACGCCAAATCATTTGGTTCTCTGAGACAGATCCGATTCTAAATGAATCCTGTTAAGCAAGTGTTCTTTGCAATTGCTAACACTATTATGCAACTACTTGCTACTGTGTTAACAAAGAAAAAATTTTGCATGCAAGAAGATTGAAGCTTTCCAAGGATATGAATAGCTTTTCCCTTGCAAATTTAAATATTTTTGGTGTTTTAACAAATATTGTGATATTAATTTATCATATTTATAGATAATAGCTCTAGTTTTAGGAGCTTGATTTTTTTTTATTATTTTGACGTATATTATAAACAAGTTTTAAGCTAATTAACAGAAAGTAAATCGGCTTAAAACCATTTATGAATGGGGAATGAATACTTTTTTACCTCACTGTATCTCAAATCAGATACGAAATTATTTTTATCTGAAAGAGAGAAAGACATACAGTCAAGTAGAGTAAATAAGCCCCTACCTAAAATTTCAGAATAGTGATAGTTCGATCTGGAATCGAATCATAGCGAATAGGCTGACTATAGTCTGTTACTTTAGAATAAGTACTTCAAGGCCATTTTGACTCCCCTTCCTTAAATACCATAGTAACGACTGTTGAAGAAAATGGCCGAATCCATTAATTTGCTAAAAAATGCCCTAATTTCCTCTGTAAAGATCCACTCACACATGTTTCCGCTACGAGAGACTGGACGTCGAAAGGGACAATTCTCAGAACCCGCACGTTTCCAGGAAACCCACGTAGCTGGGTTACCATTTTCACTTACTACAAGGACTTGAACTCCAAACAGTAATCGATTATCACTCAGATTCGGATCATGCGATCCTTCAGAAGCAGAACTTTCTTCTGATTGGTTGATCTCTATGCAGGATAGAACTACAGCCGAAACATTTTCGGCTAGCTTTCAAAAAATCCCGAGTAGCCGGTACATCGTTTCCTTAGCTAGGCGGGACTTCGCTTCCAGTGGAGTCATTTTTTCCAGGAATCCTCTCGTTTAAACCAGTGCTACCAGAATCTCAGGAATTTCTCAGAAAAGTCACATCTAGCAGGGACCAACGCTAGATGTGATAACCTCATAAGGCAATAACAACACACGTTACAACCGTCATTGCGGCAGAAGCACTACGACCTTGAAGTGCCTATTTTAAAGAAACAGGCTTCATGGGTTTGTATTCATGGGCAATACGTGAGTGAAAACAAACGGTTTCCCGAACGTGTACTCTGAATACTTATTTCCAGAAGTTCAAGTTTCCCTCAGAAATTTTTGCAGTTTGGCATCTTTAAGCAGATATTTTTCTAAAGCTTTGTCATGAATATACATGTGACTAATAACTTGTTAACAGGAAAATATTATCATCCTAAGCCTGCGTACCGTCACTTTTATGCAAAAAATTACGTATTATACAGACAGACGAAATTTTACAAATTGCAGTTCAACAGACTTTGCAAACTTATTCATCTTCTTAGAGCGAATACGCCTGATAATTAAGTTACTTGGAATGTCAGTTTAAGGGGTCTGTAGATCTTCACTACTCTGTTATATACATTAAGCGGAGATGCAAAAGATAGACAGATAAATGAAGACTTCATTAACTGCACATGTAAAAAAAAGAACCGACGAAAAAAAAAAAAGACATATTCGCCAAACATTGATGGAATTTAAAGGTCTCCAAATTCGATGCTATCTTCCAACTACCAACTAGCGGGGAGGGGGGAACTCAGAATTGTGTAGCTACTGTTTTGTTCCCGTGCACTACTTACCCCTGCAGGGTCGCCTATATTTAGATAGTTATTGCTGTTTTGGCGACGCGACTGCCTCCCTTTTAGACCCATGCTCATTCTTCATTTTTGCACCCTGCCTTTAAGTGTTTTCGAAGATGAAAATTATTTCAGTCGCAGGTCCCTGAGGACTCTTAATAGGCATCTTTCGTGTGAAACATTATGCACTAGATTTAAGAAGATGGTGATATTTTCTCTGCTCGTCTTGCATGAGTGTTTTCGTAGCGTAAAATATTACTCGCATATCTCAAGTTGCTGTCCTCTTCAGTTCTGAATTATTATTTTCCACCCATCCCTTCTTAAAAATTGTTTGCTTCTTACTGTGCACAAGTCTTGAGTAACATCAGACTAGAATTTATTAAGAGCTGCCGCAATTGGACGAAGTTCTTCAAATCCGGTAACTTTGAAAGACAACCTTGTTGCTATCGCTTACCCGTTAAATTCTGTTGGAAATTTCACTCCCATTTTTTTAATAATTATTATTTTTTATTTCGTTAGAATCTTTATCAAAGGGAAAATACAATTATTAAGTGGAAAATAACTCAATGATTTTGGAGTATTTTCCCATTTGGAGACAGCCCCATCTAGTTGACACAAGTATTTTTCGTTAAGGAAGTCATCTGTAATGCGCATTCATAATCAAATAATTCTAGATAATCACTAAGAAATTACTCATTGGTTATTTTTAACGTTTTACTAATTAATTTCTACAGTTTCCACATCAAACCGTTAATTCTAGGGTAACACTGGAATATTTTATACAGGCCTTAGTTTCCCGAAGAACGAAACATGATAAATAGGCAATGTTTTTGCAATAGATCCGAACTTCGGACCTCTCGCTGCTGGTCGTACGTGCTTCCAAATACTTACAGTTTTAGATCACAACTTAATAACTCAGGGTGACATAACGGCACTTTGTTCCAGAAAAGAGTCTGTAGTATATTGAACTGTTCATATCAGTGCCCCGGCATAGCAGTGTCCAGTGCCGCACTCTTATACAAGTTGGCCGCTTTTCGAAACGATGGAAATCTTCATAAGCCGTATTAGAGAGCGTGCACAAACTGAAGATGAGTTTTGCGCTTTGAAGTCCGAATCAATGTCCTCTAAATTTGGACACAAAAATTTTATCATCAACCGGTTTCGTTCACTAGTCACTGTAACTGCATCTCCTTCTTGTTTTGTTTTGTTTCTTACGTTTTTCGAGGGAGGGGGGTCCGATGCTGCCACTATGCCATAAACCACACCATACAATGACCTTTTGCGAATACAAGGCCGATTATGTGGACCATTGCTTCCTCGTAGGGTACGTTGATATTCACAAAAGAATGTTTATTTTCATAAAGATTTTGGGATAATAACTAAATTTATCTTTAGCCATGATGAATTGCAGAGCATACTGAACACAAATAAATATTAATGGCAGTGATAAACGAAAAATACACAAAAGACAGTGATAAAACAAAAGAGTAACGAAACATTGTTTCTATTTAGTTTTAAAATCTCATCATTCTTATTGGAATAGTCGTTACGTGATGTGACTGCATAAGTCCTAACAGCAAAGGGGAAGAGATGTCTGCCATCTCGGGTACTGTGCGTGACAGTTGTTGAGATCCCACACGTCGCTCTGTGTGATCCTTTTGGACCCATCGATCAAAATTCTCATAAATGGATCTCTGTTAAAGCGAATACCAGTTGCGTGGTACATAATTCTTCCGGTAGTTCCGGTAGGCGACGATTCTTCGGAGATCGAATTCTGTGACGGACTGGCAGGAATTCCTTCTTTTAACGCGAGGCAAAACAAATTTTTCAACCCAAAAATTGCGATTTCCGAGGGAAAAGTTTTCATTTTCTATCCGCTTTTCTGTGTTGCTTCGAGGTGGTCATCACTATTCCCTGTAGTGTGGGCATGCCATGAAATTCTAATCATTTGCCTGTTTCAGCATCTTCTATGTTTCAGATTTATTATACGTTCGTTTAATGTAAATTTCAGATTTATTATTCAGATTTATTATACGTTCGTTTGATGTAAATTTCAGATTTATTATACGTTTCCTTCACAGTGTAGCAAATTTAATGGGCAGCGGTGTAGTTTGATAGTAATAGTTAACTTGAAAAT